AAAAAAAAAACCTCCTTTTGAATTGAACCAAAAGATGATCAATTAAGGTTTGCAGACTTGGCACAGTCACAGACAAGGCTGTTGACAAGCTGGTTAAGAACTGTTCCTGGGTAGTGTCCTTGTAGAAAAACAACACTAATAAAGTCTATTTTGTCCTGGCAACTGATCCTGCATATCACAGGTTTTTGATTCATTATTTTACAGGTTTGGGATAATTTGCTTGCATGGATATTGGCTCTCAAAAATAACACAATTGTGTCCTAGAATGTGGAATCTTTCACTTCACTAGTCTTAAGAAGAATTTTAAAATTTTTTATATCATGTAATTTTTCAAATTTCTTTGATTTTTTGTAATTAAATAAAGTTTATTTTAAAATGAGTACAGGCTCAATGCTGAAAATATGGAAGACAGAAAATAACACAGCTCTTTACAATTTTCCTGTAATCACATTTAAAGATTTTCTTCCTTGTGAGAGAGAAGGAGAAAAAGACAGATTATTCTAGCACTGGGTACACAGTAATGAACAAGACTGAGAAGGTCCCTTTCTTCGCTGAGCAAAAATAGGTAACCAATGAAACCAGATAACTTTGGATAATGTTAAGCTTGTAGACATACATGCCAGTGTGTACACACACAGACACACACACACGCATAATGAAAACCCGAACTCCTTTCTCTCACACCCCACATCCAACCTGCCAGTAAATCTGATTGTCTCTACTTTTTAAAATGTATCCAGAATCCACCCTCTGCTCTCTATCTCCATTGCTACCACGCTGGCCTCAGCCACCAGCACCTCCTGTTGCCCAGATTACTGCCATCAGCTCCTCACTGGCTTCTGCTTTTCCCTTGGCTTTCTGCAGTCTGCTCCCCACCCCAGTCAGCTGATCCTCCTTTGAAATCACGAGTCCGAGCATGCCACTTGTATGCTCGAAATCTGCCAGAGGTTTCCTGTCTTACACCAAGAAAAAGTCAACTCCTTATGCATGAAGTATGAGGTCCTATAAAATCAGGCAACCCTAATCTCTGTCCAGCCTCTTTTCCTACTACACTTCCCTTGCTCCTAACACCCCAGTCTCCTGACTGTTTCTAGAACTTGCTGGGCACTGCTCTGCCTGGGATGCTCCCTGTAACCTCCTGGCTCCCTTACCTCATTGAGGTCTCTGATTAACCTATTTTCCCTAAGCACCCTATTTCAAAACACAACCCCTACTCTCTGGTTTCCTTCTCTGCCTTATTTTTCCCCGTAGCAGTTATCTCCATGTGATATATAATATATTCTACTTCCTCATCTATCTCCTTCATCTTACCCCCACCCCAAGAAGGTGGCTCTGTGAAGGCAGGGGTTTTTGTTTGTCTCTGCCTAAAACAGGAACAGGCACATCGTAGAAGCTCAATAAATATTTACTGAATGAATGAATACACACACACCTTCATATACATATGTATCAACTTGAACCAGTTTTTAAAAATACTTTTCTCAGTTGGTTTTACACTTTGGGGGACAAGCTAATGTCATAAGACACACTGTTCACAGAAATTCTTATGTACTGACTTTGGTGAATACGCTAGCAAATACTTTTAATTATTAGCAAGGGCCAAATCAGTTCGTATAAAGGAACACAAAAGTAAATACCAAATAAATAGAGTTGTGAAGGTCGCTATGAAGTCACTTAGAGATCTGCACGTTGTTAACAACCTGGCTGCCAGCACTAGATTAGCTATTTAAATACCCGGGAGGGTTAAACAGAGGTGACAAATTCAGGAATGGGTGACAAGGCAAATGTGTTGATAACTGAATAACTTTTTAGTAGTTACAGAATTCTCCTGCCATATATTAGGAATCGTGAAGCAGGGTAACTCTGAGATTACAAAGTGAACCTTAAGGGCTTATAAGCAAGTTAAGGGTTTGTTGTTTTTGTTGTTTTTCCAGAACAAATGTTTCCTTCAGAAGAGCCCTTAGGACTATAATGTATCTATAATATTTGGATCATAGCATATGCTTATGGCTGGGCAAAAGTTCCCCTTGCACTGATTTCTCTTCAAACAGCTGCTCTTTCTCACTTGCAAGTGGCTCCAAACCCACTTCTTAATCTGCCTGGCTTTTCTCAGTTACTTTTTAAGGTATATTTCAGTTCAAAGAAAGATATTACTGCAGAACAGACCTAAACTAGAAGACAGAGATTGCAAAATCTGCTCACCAGTGGATTCTGAAGCACATAGA